GCCGTGGGCAGGGACATCTTCAACTAGATCAGGTTGCTCAGAACCCCATCCAATGTGACCTTGAATGTTTCCAGGGATGGGGCATCCACCACCTCTCTGGGCAACCTGTGCCAGTGTTTCACCACCCTCAGTGTAAAAAATATCTTCCTTATATCTAGCCTAAATCTACCCCCCTTTAGTTTAAAGCCATTCCCCCTTGTCCTGTCGCAACAGGCCCTGCTAAAAAGTTTGCTGCCATCTTTCTTATAAGCCCCCTTGAAGTACTGATAGGCTGCAATAAGGTCTCCCCGAAGCCTTCTCTTCTCTAGGCTGAACAAACCCAACTCTCTCCGCCTTTCTTCACAGGAGAGGTGTCCCATCCGCCTGATCATTTTCATGGCCCTCTTCTGGACCCGCTCCAACAGGTCCGTGTCTTTCTTATGCTGAGGGCTCCAGAGCTGGACGCAGCACTCCAGGTGGGGTCTCACCAGAGCAGAGTAGAGGGACAGAATCACCTCCCTCGACCTCCTGGCCACGCTTCTTTTGATGCAGCCCAGGATACGATTGGCAGATGTATGAAGCACATCTTCCCCCGGCAGAGGTTTTTGTACCTTTTGGACTCCCTACTCTAGCCTTTACTATTGGTTCAGTGCAATAATCCCGGTCCGCAATGCCAGTTCTGCTGTGCCTGCTTGCCACTGTCTGTTTAAGTTGAAGCACCAAGTTACAGACTGCACAGTTAGTTCAACACTCTTACTTTAGTTCCTTTACACCTCTTGGATAAATACCATCTGATCCCCCTGGTTTGCAACTGTCTCATCCGTGTTTTCCAAACCGTCTGTTGTCAGTTCTGTCCCATAACCTTCCCTGACACCCTCCTGGAGTCGAAGGCGGTTTTTGCTCAAATTGTGGTGCTGAAAACTGAGTCGGAGCCATGAGCTGAGACCTCGCAAGTGCTGAGGAGAGCAGCAGTATTACCTGATGTCTTACAGATGGTGTTCCTTGTTATACGTCCCATTATATATGTTTTTTTCACAGCAGCACAGTACTGCTACCTCATCCTCAGTGTCTAATCCAGTATTTCTCCTCTTGCCACCTCATCCTTTCTGCTGCCTCGTATCATTTTAAGACCTGTTTGCTAACTGGTTTGTTGGAGGCGTCTTTAGTGGTGGCAAAAGGCGATTAATTGATGGATTTGAAGATGTTTGGCTTGTAGTTTCAAAGCGTGGAAGCCACAATGTTGATATGACCAGTGCTATATACCCGCTTGGGACTCAAAGAAGATCCAGAAAGGATACATGTGGGTTGCAAGATCTGTGATATTTTTTTCTTAGCTAGTTTTTGGGTTTGGGTTTTTTTTGTGGTTGGGGGTTTTTGGGTATTTTTTGTTTATTTATTGTTTCTTCATTTGTTTTTTCACAAAAAGGGACCCATTTCCAAGTTGGATGCTTTCACATGGGTTCTTCTCCCAGTAAAACCAGACCTGGGCTCTCCAGCCCTTTGAGCGGAGCACACCAATGTAGTAAAAGCATCACTGCCCTGGTGCGAGTGAGGGCATGGGAGCCCAGGGAGGAAGGCGGCCGAGCGCGACGGTGTCCCCCAAGGTCTCCTGCTGGGAGCAGAGACGCTCTCAGGCCGTGTGAGGGGAATGCCAAGGCTGTAGAGGAGAATTTGCAGGCAGAGGAGGAGCGAACCATCTGTGCTCCAATCGCCCTGGCAGGCTGGGCACGGCGTGAGGATGGATGGTGCCCTTGAGTGCAGGAGGACAGATGGCACACTGCTCCACAGCTCCCACCATGACCTTCAGCGCTCGCCTCCATTGCTCACTGTGTGTCTTTGGCTTTACGAGGCTGGACGGGGAAGGGCTGCAATGACACAGGGTCGGCATGAGTGGAGCTCGGCTGTCGTGGGTGGACGTTTTCATGCTGGAGGCGTTAGGATTTGGGGCCAGGAGAGCCAGGTGGACAAACAGAGGTGTGGCTGGTAGGGACCGTGCTTTCTGCTGGTGTCCTCTGAGCCCTCTCGCAGGGATCCCATGGGACAGCACAGCCTCAGGCTCTTTGGAAGGCAAAATTGGGCCATCCTTGGCGATGTAACCCAAACACACTGGGGAGCAGACCCCTTCAATGGGAGGCAGGCGCCCGGCTCTCTCAGCGATGCGATGTCGCCCTGCCTGTGACTTGGAGCCTTCCCAAGCGGCTGTCAGTCACCGTTGCTGGCCCTGTTCTCACTCACATACAGTATTATCTCTACCCGCTGCTGCAAATTGGCTCTGAGCAATCCTTGATCTGTCAGCATCGCCTACCCACTCTCAGATGTCACCAACCCCCGCTGCTGCCCTGCTCGGTAACGTGTCTCTCTGAAATGTAATAATTCATTAAGCTGAGCTTAACTTTTTTTTTCCCCTTCCCCTTTCTGCCACCCCTTCCTCCTTCTAATGGACAAAAGCAATTAAGCTCCATTAGGGATCACGTGTGTAGGAAGCATCTCCCTCGGAGACGCTGCTGCAGCTCCACAGACCTTGTCCCTGGATGCATGTGGCACCAGCTTCTTGCAAATTAGGGCTCCGTGAGCAAACAGTTGGGCAGAGGGAAATGGTGCTCGTTGAGGGGGTCACTGGAAAAGATGATTCCATTCCCTCCTCTGGGAAAAGGTGATCTGAGGTTCAGCTTGTCCTTCTGGGTTTCATTGTGGACACATGATGATGGCTCCTCTCACCGAGCAGCAAAAGGTGACACTGGCCTCAGCAGAGGAGGAGCTGGAAGGCAGAGGGATGGGCAAGCAGGAGGCGGCAGAGAGGGGCCAGATTCCCAGCTGGTGTAAATCAGGGAAAGCTTTCCAGGTGTTTCCAGTTGCAGAATATATCTGCAGGGTCTAGCTGGCAAAACTTCTGCCAAGGAGCTGGCTGGTGTGAGGTTATGGCCCATGGAGCAGAGGTTCAGCGCATGGGAGGACCAGTGGACCAAACCAGAGGGAGAGAGGCTAACTCTGACTGCAGATGGCATCTTCTCATTTCTTGACATCCAATTTGCTAACAAACAAAGGCCGGTGGGGGATGATGGCACAGCCAAAATGGTCCTGCCTTTCCTCCAGCTAGGGCAAGGAGGGTTTTTGGCATGGCATGCCCAAAACTGAGAGTGCGTTTTGCTGTTGGCTGTGGGAGGTCCTTCCTTCTCCCCCGTCTCCTCCTGCCCTCCTTCCCTCCACTTAGCCTGCTTTTTTCTTCCTTGCCTTTTGTTCTCTCCCCCTTCCCTGCCCTAAGAAGAAAGTCTCTTTTCAGTCTGAAAGCCCGCGATGGAGGGGGAGAGTCATTTGATGCTTAATGCCAGAGCGGCAGGAAACTTCACCTTCCTGGGGTGGAATTAAAAATGCTTGAATTGTCTGGGGATCTTAAACAAGAGATGCAGGGAACATTCAGGGCTTTTCACACAAACATGCACATATACACACATGCGAAAGCCCACACAGCATTAAGGGTGTAATAGCTCAGCTGGGGTAATGCACTTGAACTCTCTCTGCAGCAGACAGACCAATTCTTTCAGTTCTTCTGAATATTTTTTTTTTTTTGCTGCTAGTCTCCGGGGAGAGAGACATTTGTCTTGCAGAGAGAACGGTGCCATTTGTTCTTCACAATCACGCTTTCCTGGGACCACCCTGGGACCAGGAGGGGGCTGAGGGCTCTGCAGCTGCTGGGGCTCGGGGATGGGATGGGGAGCTGCAGCCAGCAGATTGCATCCCTGTGATGTAGTTGCAAGGAAGGAAGGAAGGGTGTGCTTGGGGGATGTCTGGTGTCAGGGATGCTCCTTGTGTGCAAACGTCAGTAGAGATATAACGTGCGGCTCGAGATGCCCCAGGTATGTGGTATGTGTGAGCAATGGGTGTGGGACATCCTAGAAGCAGGTCTGGCCATGTTGTCTCACGTATAACCCACGGTGTGGGTGGGAGATTTCCTACGTTGCCACCCCTGTGTTTCCTGCCAAGTATTTCCATTTCTCTGTGTGTGATGGCCTTTGCATACATGCTTAGGGCTTCAGGTGGTTCTTTGTACAGGGTGGGTGAAAACCTCAGGAGGGCAGCCTGCATGGGCCTTCTGTGTGTGGCCATGAGCATGTGTATACCAGAAACCAGACCATGCTTACCAGCGTGGTCTTGTGTTTTATCTGCACGTGAGAAGGTATATATAGCCCTAGCTGCGTATGGGTGTCTTTGGACAGCTCTGGGCTGGGCTGTAGGTGAAATCATATATCTTACGTACTGAGGAGTGTGTTTATGATTGTGCCTAGGAGTGCATGTGAGCATGTGGATGCTAGTACATCTGTGCACCACGTGTATTAGAGGCTGCATGAGCAGTGGGCACGGCATTAGCTCCGGCTGGTGTTGTTCAGTGTTTGGCCCCAGGCAGGCAGGTGTCTTTGCCTGTGCAGAGCCCATGAGGTCCTGCCTGCCCTCCTGCCTGCTGCAGCGCCAAGCCAAGCTGTTGTCCTTCTCTGGACTGGTCATCATGCCTGGACAGTTTGCATGAGACACTGAAGTCCAGAGAAGGACAGCAGGGATGTCTCAAGTCCTGGGAAAACCCTCCAAGGAGAGGCTGGAAAGAAAAAGGATTCAGAGGAGGAGATGAAGGCAGGGTACAGGACCTGCCCTTCTCCATCGCCTTGCTGCCTCCTCACGGTGCCCAGTTTTTATTCCCTGAAGGGACACACAGAAGCTGAACTGGTGCTGGAGTTGGGTGGTGCTGGGAGTATCCTCCCCGAACAGCAGCACCTCCCAGCCGGGGCATGCGGGGCTGAGTGACCAAGCAGGGGGTTTGCTCACATCTGTCTGCACCTTTCCTCCTGCAAAGAAGCTTCTCCTCCTCTCTGTTCATTCATCCATCCCCTGGCCATGCTTTGGCTGGGGATGGCCATGCATTGCCCCAACATGCTCCAGCAGCCCTTGGCTTGTGCTTGCCCTTGGTCCCTGCCTCCCCCTCCCTGCCCCGTGGTGCCCCCAGCCCCCCGCCTCCCTGTCCCCTTCTCCAGGGAGTTTGCCAAAGAGCGTGAGCGAGTGGAGAACCGCCGAGCCTTCATGAAGCTGCGGCGCCAGCAGCAGATCGAGCGGGAGCTCAACGGCTACCGGGCCTGGATAGACAAAGCAGGTAAAGGCTGGTGGGCCAGGGGGGCTCCCAGGTGGGTGGCGGGCACTGAAGGGTGCTGGTCATGCAAAGTGGTGGGGACGGGAAGGGATCCCTGAGCATCATCCAGTACAACCCCAAAGTCGCACAGGTGCTCACATGGTGGCATTGGGTGCATGGGTGAGCTTGGCCCCAGGTGGTGTGATGGTCCGGCCAGGCTGCAAGCAAGGACATCGCCAACAGCTGATGAAACCTGTGGCATGAAACTGTCCTGTGTTGAACATGAGGCATATTACATCTCCAGGGAAGGCTGTGAGCATACTGCTGCGAGCTTTGCTCTGCCATGGTTTCCTTTCTCTTGATGTTTGCTGGAGTCCCCTGCAGTGGTGGGAAAGTAGAGCAGTGAACCGTGACAGTGGTTTTCCAGTTAAACCTGCTCCTGGAGCAGGCTGGAGGGGATGCACTGGCTAGTTCCCAGCTCAGGGCTCCCACCTGGACCTGGGTGAGGGCTGGGGATGGTGGAAGTTTCCACGCTTCCTGCTGGCACCCAGCCATGCACAACAGCCCATGAGTCCTGGTCCCCAAACTGCCACAGCCCCTGTCCTTGCTTGCACCCTGTGGGGATCAGTTCAGTGCGTTTGGCTCTGGGAAGGGAAGATTTACACTTTCATCTAGTATTCAGACTTGAAAAAGGATGGTAACTTGAAACGAGGCCTGAGCCCCAGACCTCAGCTTTGGTCCTGGGTTGGGATGTTGGGCCCCAGACCTGCCTACAATGTTTAACTTCTTTAGTGCGGTTAACTACAGTGGAGGAAGAAGGGTTGATTACAAGTAATTATTCTTTCTGATGCAATGTGTGGTAGCTGCCACTTGCCACCCTCCAGAATTTGCTTTTGGACACTTAATCAATACTTGACAAGAGTTTGCAACTAGAGCAACCACCTCCAGGTTGCTTAGGTGTTTAGGTACAAGGCAGTGAGGTCTGATGTGCTCAGCCAACTGTGTCTTGTCTCCTGATGCTGAACTCTGTGTTTTGCGTAGAGGAAGTCATGCTGGCTGAAGAGAACAAAAATGCTGGGACCTCAGCCTTAGAAGGTAAGACAAGCAAAGTCCTGCCTAAGCACCTGCCTGCCCTTCCTTCTGCCTGTCCACTGCAATGAGAGGAGGGAGGTTTGGGGATGCCCCAGTGAGGTCCATGGCCTGAGAGAGGGGTGTGGGGAAATGGATTGACAGCATAACCCCTAAGAGAGCATGGAGGCCAGGAGATGTCTGGTCCCACACAGGGATATTTCTGGACTAGGGTCACCTGGGTATCTCCATCCTGTTACCAGGCTCGAGTTAGCCAAGCACTGATCACCAGGTCATGGTCCAATGAGCTGGCTACTGTCAGAGTTGGGCCACCAATACCCCTTCCTCTTCCCTTCCCAGTGCTCAGGCGAGCCACCATCAAAAGGAACCGGACGGATGCCATGAACCGTGACTCGAGCGATGAGCACTGCGTCGATATCTCCTCCGTGGGTGAACGGAGGCTGGCACAGAGAAGGCCTCTTCATCCAACCTTGGGTTAGTGCAGTTTTGAGCTTTCCTCCCACAAACCTCTGCCAGTTTATTGAGTTGCGAGGGTCATACCTGTCATGTGGAGATGGTCACAAATCAGCCATCTCTGCTAGTTTGACAGCAAAGGGGGCAAACCACCCACTGCCCCCTGTACCATTTAAAAACTATGTGGTTAAGTCATGTCCCATAAAAACAATGTCTGTGAACCATCTGTCCTGTCTCATGTTGTGGAGAAGGCTGGAGCACCCAACTCCTCCTCTCACCTTGATTGGAGCACCCAACTCCTTCTCCCCCCTCTTTTCCCTTAGGTAACCCCTTAAGTCACTCTGGCCTCAAAGGCGCCAGAGTGGATGGTGCCTCCTACTTTCGGCACAAGGAGCGACTCCTGCGCATCTCCGTTCGCCACATGGTGAAATCCCAGGTCTTCTACTGGATCGTCTTGAGCCTGGTGGCTCTCAACACTGCCTGCGTGGCCATTGTCCATCACAACCAGCCAGCCTGGCTCACCCACTTCCTCTGTGAGTTCCTGGGCTTTGTGTAGGTGTGAGAGCACTGCGTGGGCAGGCAAAACCTCCTGCAACCTTTTTATCTCCAGCAGCCAGAGGTTGCAGCACGTCTTCGCTCCTTGCCCCAGGGCACATGGGGATGAATCCCACCAGAGTCATGCTGGTATGGAGCTGGGTGGGGAATAACCTGAATTACATTCACTGTTGATAAAAAAAGGACTGTGTACAGCCATTTAATACAGCTTTGCCCTTGGCCCTGTGGCCACTGATGGCTGTCTCAGCCCTATGGGCAAATGTGGAGGAGTTTTAGTGGCCTCATGCCCTTCAGGTCCGATGTGTTTGTCAAGAGAGACAAACAGACTGCAGGTCTCAGTTGCGTTTATCCTAAAATTGTGAACGGTGGTGATGGAAAGCTTGCTGGAGATCCATCTTTGAATGCCCACAAGCAATTGCTGGAAAGGCGTGAGTTTGCAGGCATGGGACTGGTCATGGGAGAACCCCCTGGTTAAAGTTTTGGTGCAGAGCATGGCATGGGGATCCCAAGCTTGAAATCAGTTACTGGAGCATCCCCCAGTGCACCATGGGCCATGGTAGAAGGTCAGGTCTTGGAGGCAGCACACCCATGTCTATTCTAGCGTGGTGCTAACTGCAGAGCAGCGTGGTCAACCCCATGGCAGCCGTGTGTTACTCCTGAGCTGCTGCAGTAGGGACAGTGCTGCTTTCTCAGCCGTGTTATTTTTACTCACCTTGAAAACGTCCCCGTCAAGCACCAGGCCTGCCCAAATTTGCATTAGCACGCTCAGGCCTGCCGGGATCCCAGCACGCCACGGTGTGGTACGGCAGCTGGTCGTGGTGAGAAGCATCTTTTGGACAAGGTGAAGAGCCAGACTCTTGCCTGCTAATGTTCATGAAATAGCTGGAGAAGCTTTTCACTGGCTCTTGGCTGTTCAGCTCGGTTACCCTGGCTAAGTTCCAGCCATGCAATGATTTAAATCCAGGTTGCTAATATTCCCCTACAGTGTCGTGTGGTTAATGTCTTTGCAGATGCCTCAACAACTGTCATATAATGCTAAAGAGCTGCTCTACTCCATGCCGGCCATCTCTGGTCTTCTCAAACCTGTGGGACACTGGTGCACCTACCCTGAAAGATTAACTTGTGGGGTTGCTGCTCTGTTATACATAATTTAGCCCCTCACAGACAAGCTTCCCTCGTCCCAAACCCTGAGGGCTTGGGGAAGCGGCGTGGTCCTCGACTTGTCCCATCTCTGTGGTGTGCTATATGGGCCACTGGTGGGTGCATGCAGGATGCTCTGCATAGCTCGGTGCCCCAGGGTTAGCGCGTTTGGGTTTTCTCTTCCAGACTATGCAGAGTTCCTCTTTCTTGGGCTCTTCCTCCTGGAGATGTCCTTAAAGATGTACGGGATGGGGCCACGCCTTTACTTCCATTCTTCCTTCAACTGCTTTGACTGTGGGGTAAGCAGCCCCAGAGATGCTGTGGGTGTGGGGGGAGATGTTTGGCAGGTGTCTGCAGCGCAAGCACCAAGGGGGAGAAGAACGGGATGGCCCTTGCAGTGGGCAGGGGAGCCCTTTCTGCTGGGACAGCCTGCCTGTGCCAGACCGAGACACCAGGTCTTGGGCAGGGTGGAGGGTGCCTCGTCTTCAGGCCCGTGAAGATTTCCTGCAACAGCCCGTCCTGAGCCTGTCTTTGACTCATGGCTGTGTCTGCTTCTCAGGTCACGGTGGGAAGCATCTTCGAAGTGGTTTGGGCTATCTTCAGACCAGGAACCTCTTTTGGGATCAGTGTCCTACGAGCCCTTCGTCTCCTGCGAATATTTAAAATAACCAAGTAAGTACCAACCATCTGTGCCTGTCACTCTTCATCTCCGACTGTGGCTGCAGCCCAGATCCAGTCGCTCCTGCTCTCCTGTCAGCATCACTGCGAGTGCTCCAGCAATGTCTCTGTTTTCTAGGTACTGGGCATCCCTGAGGAATTTGGTGGTGTCGCTGATGAGTTCCATGAAGTCTATTATCAGCCTGCTCTTCCTCCTTTTCCTCTTCATTGTAGTCTTTGCCCTCCTGGGAATGCAGCTGTTTGGAGGCAGGTAGGTCGTTTCAAGTCTGGGGAAAAGGAATTTCTTGGTGTAAAGCCAAGTGATGACACCCTCTTAGGTGCCTAGGAAGACTGTAGCCTTGTCCCTCAGTCTGCTGCTAACAGTGGTACTTCTCCCGTACAAAAGCCCCTGCTCGAGGGGTGCCTTTGGGCTGTGTGGGTCCTTCTGGCCAGGAGACCTTTTGAGTTCTGGCACCAAATGCTCGGGAGACCTTCCTTAGCGTGGGGAAAGGTCCTCCTAAGCACAAGATAGCTGATAGCACAGCAGTCAGGGGTTTGATGACCTTGGTACTCCAGCCCATTTACGTCCTCCTGGTTCCACTTCCAGGTTTAACTTCATCGATGGGACGCCGTCGGCCAACTTTGACACTTTCCCTGCAGCCATCATGACGGTGTTCCAGGTAGGAGCTGGGCTGCAAGGGGACACAACCAAAGGGACTTGGGACCACCTGCTCCCTGCCCCCTGGCTGGAAGGGGCTTTTTAAACCAAACAAGTTCCCTTCCATCAGCTGTTAGGATATAACTCGCTTCCTCCCTCTCGCCTGTGCAACACAGTGGATGGCAAGAGATGGAAACTCTTCCACCTGTGTTACAGAAGGTGGAAGATTTTCAAAACTCTTCTGAGGATACCTAAATCCTCAGCAGTGTCCAACATCATCTCCCTCAATTGCTGCAGCTGTAGAGCTGGGTTATCCACCGCACAGGGTCTCTGTACTTGGCTCCTGTGCATCTGTGGGATGGATCGAGGGGGCTGTCCAGGTGATGAGAAGGTGCAGGTGACAGAGCTGCTGGCTTGCTTTCCTGCAGATCCTGACGGGTGAGGACTGGAACGAGGTGATGTACAACGGCATCCGCTCCCAGGGAGGCGTTCGCTCAGGCATGTGGTCCTCCATCTATTTCATCGTCCTCACCTTGTTTGGAAACTGTATCCACCTGGCTGCTGTTCTTTTAGTGGAGACAACCCCATCTCATCTCCCTCTGGAGGCACCCCCTCCCCACCCACTGCACCTTCCTCCTCTCCCAGTTGAGGGAGTCCCATCACATGTGCAGCAGCCCTGGATATCCCAAATGCAGAGAAGGAGCCCTCTGGAGGTGCACTGGGGGCTGTATATATGGGATGGGTGAGGAGTTTGTCCCTCTGGCTGCTCCTCACTAGGCTGGTGAGAAGCCATCAGGGCCACCCTCCCTTGGTGGCTGCAAACACCCATGTCCTTAACACATGCCTTGTGCATCCTTAGCTGCTCACAGATACTCTGCTGAACGTGTTCTTGGCTATTGCGGTGGACAACCTGGCCAACGCTCAGGAGCTCACCAAGGTATGTTCCAGTTGCTCCTTTTTCTTCTCTTGCTGGTGTGAAGAGAGTGAAGAAGAGGGCCAGCAGGAAAGGCACCAGAAGCACTGCCTGTGACTGTTCTCACTCCAGAGCCGGGACCACCTTGTCCTTTAGCTCAGCCTGCTTTGGAAAGAGGTCAGGTCAAATTGCAAGTGGGGGCTCTTCCTCCAGGAGGGTGCACAGGGTGCTCCCCTGAAACACAAACCCGTATCGCTGGGCAAAGCCATTTAGACTTTGATACAGGAAAGCACTTAAACCTGCTGGTCTCATGTCTTTCCAGGAACAGCCACACTTCCCATCAAGTGTGGCTTAACTATTTCTCCATTTAAACTCCCCAGTTTCGTTTACCTCCGGTCAGATCGAGATAACCCTCATCTATCTGATGGGGTCTGATGTGGGGACGGTTATTTGCCGAAGCACTCTGGAGATGCGGAGCGGGAAGCGCTTTCCAGTGGTGTCAGTATTTATTCCCCATCTGCCCGCGGGGCAGTGGACGTGATTTAGGATGCAATTTAGGATGGTGCTTGAGAAGGTTATTTGGCTTAGCTGTTTTTAAGACCGTGCTGGGAAATATTTGGGGAATGCTAAAATGTTGGGCCACCATCTGGATAATGGTGAGTAGGCGAGAGCTGCAAGGGTCATTGCTGCTCTTTGGAGGGAACCAGTGATCCTGCAGTGCCCGTTTTCTTGCAGAGCCCATGCCTATTACTCAGGTCCTTGGGGCTTACTGAGAGGCCTCCACACTGGTGTAAATCTGACCTGTTAGCAGCAAATGAAATGGGGCATGGTGCTCGTTTGCCTGAAGGGTGTGTGCGGGGGTCCCTGTCCTCCTGTGGTGGGTGCAGGTGGCACTGCTGGCTGCCGCTGGGGTGAGAGGGGTGGGAGAGCCCCGCAGCGTACCAGCAGTATCAATTAAGAGCACGCTGAGTTTTTGAAAAGGCTGAATGCATTCTAATGACTCCTAATGACATTTTTTGCTCCAGAGACACAACCATACTCATTAAAGCAATACGGTCTCTGCCGGGGTCATTCATGGATGCCTTGCCTCCCACTCCATCAGGGGGACGCCTGTCTCACTCCTGTGGCTCTGAAGAAGGGAGGGCTGAGTTGGTCTACACCATCTGGGGCTGTTCTAGTGTGCACAGCCTGGCTCTTGCCTGGAGTGTGCTGGGTTCACTTATTTAAGTAGCACTGACACCTTCAGTAAGATCTGGCGTAGTGGGGAAGTTGCATCCCCGTAATAAAATAAAGGCTGTCTCTGGAAATACAGGTGCCTGCTCCCCTTCTCTCCCGCACGCCTTGGTATCTAAGGTAGCCCCGTGCATCCTTCGCTGCCTCCGATGGCTGCACCTTCCCTTGAAACCCCAGCATCCCACTAAGCAACTCCCCTCTTTCCTCTGCAGGATGAGCAGGAGGAAGAGGAGGCCTTTAACCAGAAGCACGCCCTTCAGAAAGCCAAAGAAGTCAGCCCCATGTCCGCCCCAAACATGCCTGCTATCGAGTGAGTGACCCTCCCCGACCACTACCCCGGTGCCCCCCCAAGCCCAGCGGGGCTTCTCAGCAGGGTGGAGAGCTGAAGCAGAGCCTGGCATGGTGGCTTGTGGGGCTGCCGCAGTAAAAAGGGGTCCCCGCACAGTGTGACTCCCTCTCTAGGTGTCTTCCTGGGGATGGATGGAGATCTAGGAGCATGCTCCCCGTGAGCAGCAGTGCCTTCGGAGAGGTGTCGGAGCGGGGACCAGCTCACCCCGCAGGACCTGAGCTTGCTCACCCTTGCCCTGAACAGCAGCCTCAGAGCTTGGGCATGGCAGAAATCCACTACAAGAAGCTTTCTGCCCCAAATATACAGTTCAAACACTCAGGGCTGCTGCTAGGGGTGGGGAAGGAGGCTGGGAAGGAGGAAGGTGTCTCATTTTTTTCTTGAGGAGGGGTGATATTTGCTCCTGGGGAGCGTTTCTTCATGGCAGAGCTGCGGGATTGCAGCCAGGGCTGGGGGAGAAGGGAGCAGCGGTGTCACAAATCTCCCCCAGGCTCCTTCCCTGGTAGTGAATGCAGTTATGAGAGATGGAGCAGGTTTGCAAAACCATGTTTGATTGTACAGAAATTTGATTTGGGCAAGGAAAAAAAGCCCCAAACCACATAAACCCCCAGCATGGTGTTAAGGAGCCTTGTCTCTGCGTTTCAGCAGAAGAAAATTCTGTTTTTTCCTTTCTAGACACCTTTTTTCCCTTTATTGTGCAGTGTCATATGGTCTAAATCACATAAAACTTTCAAAGTCAACATTGGAACGAGACGTTTTGATTTGTTTCCCAAAACAGTACATTTCAGTACGGTTGAAAGGTTGTTTTTTTTTTTCCTTTTTTTATAGAATCCCTTCCCAGGGAATTTTAGGTTTCGTTATGCTTTGAAACCCAGCCAAGCTCGTACACGGCAGAATCTCTTGCAGATTTGCCGAGAGAAACCGCTGTCTTCAGGCGAGCACTGATCTGGGGGGGGTTGGAGGCAGCGTTAGGAACGGCCCCAGCTCCCTGGCTTGGTAGCGGTGGGATGCGATGGTCCCCCATCCAGCATGCATCACCCATGGTTTTAGGGGCAGCAGGAGCTGGGGGTACTTCTAAGTCCTGCCTGGTCTTGCAGCAGCCGCAGATATCACCGTGGTTTGGGGGTGATGGGACGTTCATAATAAATCTGTGCCTGGACAAGTACTGGGGGGGTTTACAGGAGAGAGAGCAGAGTCTGTGTGTCATGACCGTCTCTGGCTACCAGTGGGAATGTATCGGATAAAGCGAGGGAATAAAGGGATATAGGCAGCAGAAGAGGCTGGAGGATGGGCAGATAGGAGAGAGAAAGAGGGAGAGATGGACTATGTTACGGCATTAAAGGATTTGCCCACGCTGCACATCCCTGCTAGAGTTTTCTAGCCATTGTCAGATATAGCTGGTTAGGAAAACAGATCTCTTTAACCTTTTGTTGTTGTTCTAGTGGCATTGAAATGGGAGGTATTGATATTTGCAGATCTTTTTTCCAGCTCCTCCCCCTCATCAGGATGGATAGTGTCAGTGGCAGGAAGGGGGTGCGATGCCATGGGGGTGACCATCTCCAGCATCAGGTCTGATGTGCCTTTGGCGGTGCAATACTGATGCCAGCAGCCGGGGAGTGCTGGTGGGGACATCATAGCAAGGGACAAGCCAGAGCAGAGCCGGTACCAAAGGGCTGTTGAAAACTCGGGACGGTGAAGCCAAGCCGGTCTCTGCGTTTGGGTGTGCGCAGACACAGATGGCTTCATTTCTATGTGGGTACCCAGCGCAGGCAGGTTTGGAACACGCGTTCCTGCCTGCAGAGAGGTCCGGTGGTGCTCAGGGATGAATGCTCCCACGTGGCCAGGTTGGCGTGGGTGGCTGCGGTGCCGATCGGAGTATTGTATTTGTACATGGGCGCCGTTGGTGCAGATGGCTCGGAGCTGTTTGACGAGTGGGCGGCCAGATGGACGCATGCGGATGCTGTCATGTGTTGGTGCATAACGTGGTGCGTGGATGCGTTTGAAGGCTCGGCCACTTGCTGCGGGGATGGCGGCAGGTGCCTGCAATTCACTCTCTGCCTTGAGCATGGCACCGGGCTGTTCCCATACACGTGGCCATAAGGAGGCAATCACCAACGTGATTCACCCAGGGGCTGAGGGTATCGTTGCACTCGCAGGACGGCAGTGAGATGCACCCCGTCTCACCTGCGTGAGCTCTGCATGCACGCGGGCGCTTAGTCCCGTGTGGTTGGAGTATATTTGCTTGCATGTCCTGCACACACACACGACATTTGCAAAGAGCAAAACCTGTAAATCACTGCATGCACATATGCTCGTGGCTGTTTGCTTGGAGCTGTGCATATCTGAATCTTTTCTGTGGTGATACAAAGGATAAAGCCTTGAATGTCCCAGCTGCCTGAAGTCGGTGGGGGTGAAGGGCTGACAGCCCTGTTAAGCTTCTCTGTGTCAGGGCTGCTCAGGTGACAGGAGCTCTGTGGCATCTCAGCCCTGGGCTTGTGCCTTTGCTTTTGCTGAGGAGCTTCACGTTCCCCTCTGCAGTCTCAGGGCAGCATCAACCCATGGCGACGGCTCTGAGCAGCTCAGGGCTGGCCTCTGACACATTGCTTCTGCTGCAAAATTGTCACACGTTGCTCGGGAGAAGTGAATTTGGAGGAGTTTGAAAGAGCTGTTAAATATCTAAGGATGTACCAGGGCTTCTGAGGTGCTGCAGCCTGCACTGCTCTCCCCATGCCACTGCTGCACAGCTGGCTGGTGCAGGGAAGGCTCTGTGGCTTCTGATCCCATCCACGAAATGGATCTGCATCCCCGGCACGAGCATTGCTGCATGCATCTCCCTAGATGGCAGTGACGTGTGCCATGGTGGGATGTGGGAATCTGGGTGCAGCACGTGAGTGTGAGCGCGGGCAGCCCTGCAGGCAGCTCGTTGCCGGTGTGCAAGCGTGTACGTGCAAGAGGTTCGCTGCTGGCTGCTACGCTCCAGCATCCCAGCAGCCTGTGGCCGATAGGCAGAGAGATGCTGGCTGCCCGGGGCGGGGGGACGTCTCTCTGCCTTGCCCACACAAGTTAAAGGAGGGGTGAAGGGGGGATTGAACCCATTTGTTTTTCCTCCCCAGAAGAGACAGGCGAAGGAGACACCACATGTCGATGTGGGAGCCACGCAGCAGCCACCTGTATGTGGGCCGCGGGGGCGTGTGTCGTCTGTGGCTCCTGTGCTTTCTGTGTGTCCATGGGGCCGGGACACACGCCGCTCCCCTCCAGCCTCCTCGGTGGGGGGGTCGTGTGTGTGCCTGTATTCAGTGTGCTACTTTGCACCCCTGTTTGTGTGCGTGTGCGCGTGCATTCGTGGTTTTGTGCGTGCCTAACCCGCTTGTGTGTGTGCCGTGCAGTAAGTGTGTGTCAGTGCGTGCCGCTACCCGTGGATGTGCTCTGGGGGTGAGCAGTGTATGTGTATGCACACGTGGGTGTTTCTGTGTGCCTCGGTGTGTTGGGAAGGGCACGTCTGTCTTCTCCAGGGTGTTTGTGTGCACGTTTACGGCACTGCAAAGGTTTCATGGCATAGCCCAGTCCTCCCTAGAGCACACCTGCAGGAACATAGAGAAGCCCAGTACAGCTCCTTCCCCCACCAGCAGCCAAAACTGCTGTTCCCTGAGCCTCGGTGCAGGCCTCCTACCCGGGATGTGCTGGGCGAGGGGCTGTCCTAGCCGAGCATAGCTGAGCAGAGGGAGGGAGGGGGCCTTCTGCGCCCAGTGACATTCTCCGTTGCAAATGTCTCAGAGGGCCATCTCTCACTGAGAAAGGCAGGTCTTGTACCTGGCATCTTTTTCCCTCTTACCCACTGTCCCCGTCCCGTCAGGACTTCCACCCTTGCCAGCAAACTGGCTCTTGTGCCAGCGTCCCCTGCACCGTCGTTTGTACAGTTAGGGCAGCGCTGCTCTGAAAAGAAGCCTGGCTCCAAGGAGCTGGTGATGCAAAGACACCCCCAGTGCAAGGAGGGATCCTCGGCTGCAGTGAGAGGGCATTGCCTATATTTAAGACGGTGTCCCCAGGCAATCACACAAGAGGAAGGTGGTCACCCCCTGGTTGGGATAGGGCAAGCCGGGGTGCTGGCTGCTCCCAGCAAGCTGGGCATGCTGCCTAAAAGCTTCAGGGCAGCTGTGAGGCTGCTGGGGCTGGTCCTCCATCAGCCTGATGTGTCTGAAGGGGCAGAAGTACAGTTTCAGCCCCATTTCCAGCCCCTGCCAGCACCAGAGGGATGCTGGAGGACTGAGGACGAGGCAGGAGCCCAGCCCGTAGCCCTGGGGATGGCATTTCCTTCTCCCTGGGATTCCCAAATTAAATCCAGGTGGATGCTTCACCGGGGAGGGGGTGAAGCACCAGCAGCAGGGTGGGTGTCCAGGACGCAGACCCCTCATGTCGGTGTGGGAGCAGCGCACCAGCCAGTTGCGCCGGCACATGCAGATGTCCAGCCAGGAGGGCATCAACAAGGACGAGCCACCTCTCATCAACCCCCACGCCAGCATCTTCCGCAGGAAGAAACCCGGGGACGGCGTCACCCTGGAGAAATGCGCCGAGGAGCAGGGTGGCAAGGGCGAGCGGCCGCCGGCTGAGGGCCCCGAGCAGCCGGCCCCGGGGGCCAATCCTGGCAGTGGTGAGGACAGGAGGAGCCCGTCACCCCGGGCCAAGCGAGACAAGGAGCTGTGGCACCAGAAATCGTGCCACGGGAACTGTGAGGCGGGTGAGCAGGATGGTGCAGGAGGCAGCATTGGGAACAGGGCGCGGATGAGGCAGAGCCAGCGGCGCAGCCGGCACCGCAGAGCCCGGATGGAGGGGAAGGAGCCAGCCAGCGCTCTGGGGAGCCGGTCGGCTAGCCAGGAGGTGGGTCTGGAGGAGGCCAGCCCCACAGAGGGGGCGCAGGATGGGGACCAGTGCGGTGATGCGGCCGCAGCGGAGGCACTGATTCAGGGGGATCTGGAGGCGAGCGGAGAGCCCATCAGGTTGGTACTCAGGGAGGGCATCTTGCATTTCCCACGGCTCCTTGTCCCCTCCCCTTATCTTCTCGCACCTCTTTTCATCCCACCTCCCTCCCCCAGGACAAATGGGGTCCCTGCTAGCGATGCCGAGCTGGTTGGGACCACCGAGGAGGGGAGCCCCCTGCAAGCGGTGCCCGAGCCCCCCCGGCGGAAGACGGGCAGCCTGACGGAGCAGGACTGCAGCAGCCTGGACACCAGCGAGCAAGCGCTGCTGGAGGCCAGCCGCACTGTCAGCCGGAGCGAGCCCGACCTCTCTTCTGTCACCCCCAACACCGAGAAGGCAACGGAGAGCACCACCATCATGATCGATGTCCACGACTCTGCTGTGGTACAGAGTGAGGACCCGTCTCTCTTTCCTGAGCCCCTCTCCTGGCCCTCGGGGACTCTGGGGTGGGATGGAAAGCCGCTTGCATGGCTTTTCCTATTCGTATCCATCAACTGGGGGGCTTTCCGTGCTGCTTCTTGCAGCACCTCTCTCCAGCACTCCAGTTTTGCAGGGGAGCCTGAACACAGTGCTGATGTGCCGCTGTCCCCTGGGGAGCTTCTCGCTTTCTTCCCTCCTTCCCACCCGCCCCTTTGCCTGATCCCTCCTTCCCTCTTCCTCCCTGACCAGGCAAAACACTCACATTCCCTGTTTTTCTTAACACATCCGCAGCCCCCGCCCAGCTCGCTGCCACTCAAACCCCTTAACAGCACCCTCGCTGTCAAGGTGAGCTGCTTTAAATGGTGTTATTAATTAAACAGCACCGTGAAAGCTGGCCTTGTTAAAACCTCTTTCGTCTGCTTCATCCCAGCAGCTTGTGTCTTTTCTTCCCTTCTGGTTCCTCTCCCTGTAATGGCACGGGGATGCAAAGCAGAAACCCGGGGGGGTTGCACGTGCCTGGGTGGCAGGGACACCCCAGGGTGCTGCCGGGGTCCAAGACCAGGCAAAGGCTCTCGCTTTCCTGCAGTTAGCAACAAGACAGACGGCGAAGCCAGCCCCTTAAAGGAGGCCGAGGCCAAAGAGGATGAGGAGGAGATGGAGAAGAAGAAGCGGAAGAAGGAGAAAAGTGAGACGGGCAAAGCGATGGTGCCACACAGCTCCATGTTCATCTTCAGCACCACCAACCCGTGAGAGATTTTTTGGACCATAGGAGCCCTGGGCTGGGGAGGGCTGCAAGGGGGAGGACCCTTAGATGTCACTGAAAACCGGCGACCCCCCTTGGGAAGGGGGCTGTATATCTCCCAAAGAGCCTGGATAACCAGCCACAGTGTTCCCCAAGCCCAGGGAGCATTCTCCCTCTGTGCCAGCAATGCTCGTGGCTTTCTCTTCCGACTGCTGACTGCTAGCTGTGATTTTTATTCAATGTTTGTTGCATTTTTCTGCAGTTGTCTGCTCCCCTGTAGATCTTGCCCGGCTCCAGCAGCCTAGAAGAATAAGCCCCCCAGTTTCTCAGGGACTCTCCCTGGCTGGCCACAGGGTGTCTGGGGGGCTGGGACAGCCAAGCAAAGGGGTCAGCAAGCCCAAACCACCCTCGGGCTCCCTTGTTTTGCTCCTCAGATTTTGCTGCCCATCTTTCTGCTCTGGAAGCTGGCGATGTGGGGTCGGTTTTGCACGTGGGCCATGCCTGGGGCATGCCAAGGGCTCACAGGTCGGGGTGCGGGCTGTCTCCCTGCAGGGTGCGGAGGGCTTGCCACTACATCGTGAACCTGCGCTACTTCGAGATGTGCATCCTCCTGGTGATTGCCGCCAGCAGCATCGCCCTCGCGGCGGAGGATCCCGTCCTTACCAACTCCGACCGCAACAAAGTGATTGCAAACCTCCCCTGCTCCCCCCATCCCGCAGGCAGAAGTCCTGTAGGATTTTAGCTTCCATGGTGGGGCACATGTGGGACATGGATCAGGGCAGCTGGTGGCAGCACTTGCACCATGCCATGGGATCTGACTTCTCCCTCCATTGCCTTCCTTTATAAACCCTGGAAATCCCTCTTAGCCTCCCACACGCGGGGTTTAGAGCCTGGGGAGCCGACCAGCGTGCCTTGTTGATAGTAAAGTAGCTTAAACCGGGGAGATGCTGATGTGCACAGGGACTGGTATGGGGGAGCATGATTTGGCATGCTCCAATGATTTCAGAGCTGCTTGCACCATGCACGGAGAATGTTTCTTTCCTGCCTACGCAGGCTGGGTTTATGGCTGTCCTGAACTCTTAGGTGACAGGCTGGGTTTGGGGCAAGCAAAACTGACCCTCCATTTGCACCTGAGCCAGGCGAGTGCTGGGTGCTGGGCAGTAACAGGGTCTGGGTGGACGCCAGTGAGCCCGTTTGCTTGGCAGCGGCTGCAGAGTGCCCGTGCCCTCTCTCTGCAGGTCCTGAGGTATTTTGACTATGTCTTCACTGGCGTCTTCACCTTCGAGATGGTTATCAAGGTAAGAGCCTTTGCAGGGGTGCGCTGGGGGTGCTGAGTCCCGCAGCGTCCTTGCAGTGGGTAGGAAATAGCTGTTTTTCGGTTCTGGTCCTGAATTTGGATGATGGAGACTTTAAAGGCTGGTTCTTAGCACTGGGAGTCGAGAGTGCTCAGCACCAGGCTCCTGAAATATGATGCTCCTTGATATATACCTGGGTCGCAGGGACAGGTCCGCTGCTCCCCAGCAATGTCCCTGTCCCCAGCACATCCTGCCTACAGCTGCTTCCACTTGATGGCCAAGCTGCTCATTCCCTGCCTGTTTTTCTCACCATTTCCCCCCCGCAGATGATTGATCAGGGCTTGATACTGCAAGATGGTTCCTACTTCCGAGACCTCTGGAATATCCTGGATTTCATCGTGGTGGTGGGAGCGCTGGTGGCTTTCGCCTTGGCGTAAGTGGCCATCATCCTTGTCAGCTCTTTGCCGTCCCTTGGCGGGGGAGGGAGGAGGATGCAACTGTCTGTTATGGCTACTAGACCCTGATATTTTTTTTTTATTTCTCTGCACCCTTCTGCTCTGCTTCTGGGATGGCTCCTGGCAGTGGTGCGCAGCTGCTCCAGAGATGTATTTCTCCTTGTTTGTCAAATGCTGGTGAGCAAGCAGGCAGGGGGCAAGGCAAGGCAAGCTGGAGATGCTAGGAAGAGATTGGTGGTGAAAGTGAACTTGAAAGAGGGCAGAAGGGGCTGTTAGAGAGGGAAAAAGACGTAAGGCTGGCAGAGCTGGAGTTATATGCCTACTACGCATCCCGGGGCACACAGAGACAGCAAAAGCAGCAGCCTGCCAGGTGGAGCTGCCCTCTGAATGTGTTTGTGCTGGAAATGGTACCCGCAGCTGGTGGCTTTTCCTCTGCTCCAAGGGGGAGCACTGCCCCGAAGCCCTGCAGGGATGGGGAGGCAGCCGGTGGGGTTGGTGCCTGCATCCTCTGCAGCATCACGCTGAGGGCAGGGTGCTGTGTGCTTGCTCTGCAGCGTGTTCTTGCTGAGCATCACCTTGCAGGTGGGCTCTGGTACCAAGCTTGTGACACTTGGGATCCTCCTCTGCAGGTAGGTGCAGGGTGGCTCAACGTCTGCAGTGCCCATGCCATGGGGGGGAGAAGTGTCCAGGGATGAGTTTCATGCTGCTCTGCCCTCCTCTGTGCTGCTGGCTGGGGCAGGCAGTGCAGTGTAAGCTTGAGGAGGGGACAAGTGGGTGCCAACGTGATGCTGCCCCTGGTCCCCAGGGCCGTGGTGCCCCGTTGGTGCCTGAGGAGGAACAGGAGAAGAGAGGAGGGGCTGGCACTCCTTTGTCACGCTGCTGTTCTCTCTTTGTGCCTTTGACACTGGCGGCAGTGGTGTTAGTGCTGGTGAGAGGGGAGGGCTTGGCAGCAGCGCATACTGGAACCCTGTCCTTGTCCACAGCTCTCAGGTACCATGCGAGGCTCTTGGGGTGGCTGGCTCCGAGCCCTGGGGTCGCTTGATGGATTACAGCCCATAATCCATCCCTCCCATCTCATCCCTGGCTGGGCGGCAGCTCCTTCCCCTCACTCTCGCCCACTTGCACCTTCCCTTGCTCATTGCTTTTGCCTTCCTCACCCCCTTCCTTGCCTAGCACTTTCATCTGCTGCTCTCTCCTTGGGAAGAGCACGGGAGAATTCAACTCTCTCGGCAGAGGGATGAACCAGCCCCTGGGTGGTGCAGGGAGCTGACCGCAGACCCTGGCATGGGGAAGGGGCACGGGGCAGGTCTGCTGGCTGAGAACATTGCTCTGAGCCTCCAGGAGGCCACCCAGGCCACTATGAGGATGGATTGAGCATCTCCGGAGTCTGGCTGATCCCTCCTCTGCCAGGGCAGTCCTTCAGAGCGTGTCTGGAGGGAGTAGCTCAAGGGCATCAGCAGCCTGAAGATGTGCTGGGTGGTTTGAGGGGTTTAGGAGAACAAGGGAGCCTTTTCCTTCCAAGGCATCTTTCATCAATACTTTTTGATGGCTGAAGGAGGGAAGGTTGATGGCTCAGCCCGCTCCCAGGTGGTTGGGTGTCCTCGCTCCCGCTAACAGTACTGTAATCGGCACTTACTGTCCCCTTGCCTCCACCCCACAAAGGTGGTGGCATGGTTCCTGGAGTGGCTCCTGGTGCTGGCAGGGTCCCCACATGCCAGTGCCGAGCACATGGGGAAGCTGCCTTGCCCCTTCCAACCCCGCTTGCCTGCCTCCACCCAGCCTCCCAAGGGAAGGACAGGTCCCTTTGGGCACAGGGCAGCTGAATTCTTGCGGGCAAGGACCCCCATCGGCTGCGGCACCAAACCCCCTCACACGGAGAGGGCCTTTGCATCTCCACGTATGTTTGCAGCAAGCATCTATGTCGCCTGTCCACTCTTGTAGCTGTAGCTGGGTAGATACTGAGTTGCTTGTGTCGTGGATGAGGGCTTTTTATCATGTAAACCTGCAGGATTGTCCCTCTCCCCCATGTCCGATGGTGGCTCCTGCTGGAGGAGATGATCTCGTGGCTTCAGGGGTGAGCGGAACCAAGGAACTGCAGTGATTTCCGATGGGTTTATACATTATAAAGCATTTATAAGAACACCTGCCTCTCCCCTTGGCAGCCCATCACTGCCGCGGCCCCAGGAGCCACAGGATGTTCACCAGCTATAAATGTCCCAACCTGCCACGCTCCCTCCCTCCATCCTCGTCTGGAGAGGAAAACTCTGGAGGTGACATCTGAATCCCTCTCCTTCTATTCTCCCTTCATGAGCTCTTTGATGTGGGGCTGGGGGGGCGATGTGTCCTCCTTCTCCCCCTCCTTGCCTCCATGGCGCTGGGTGGGCAAAGCAATGCCCGCAGAGCAGCTGCGGTGATTATGTGGCTGAGAGTGGCTGGTGACCGGGTCCAGGACTTGCCAGTAGAAGAAGTGCTGGGACGCACCATGCCATTTGGGTTTTCTGCCCTTTTTGCCTCCCTCTGCGGTTCGGTTTCCCCACGGGGGGTCCTGGGTAGCCGTGGGCGCAGCAGAAGATCTCTGAGCTGGTCCAGCGGTGCCACCATCATCTGCTGGACATCAGTGCCACATCAAAATCACCAATAAGCAAGTGTCCACCTGTGAAGCCATGTCTCTATGTGCCATCACGTCTTGTCCACTGCCCCCTTGGAGCCCGTACATCCTGAGCAAGAGGTCATCTTGGCTCATCCGTAGCTCTCTGTGTGGAAAGCTAATAAGTCAATCCAAACTCAGCCTAAATAAAAAGCCCAATATAAAACTGTAAATCTCCAAAGAGTTCAAATTAAATTAGCTGAAATAACCAGAAACATAACTAAAGACTCTGCTTGCTTTTGCCTCCTGTGGCACCCTCCGAGGAGGCACTGTGCAGAGGAGCAGCGCTTGCTTGCAGCTTTGCAGAGCTGCCGAGAGGTGGTGATGCCTATGCCTGTGGGCTTCCAGCAGTGGGAAAGGTTGAGCAGTGGAAAGGTTGAGCAGTGCATAACACTCGTCGTCTCACCTGGTCAACAAGGGCAGGAGTTTCTCCACCCAGAGGTACCCAGCAGAGCTGCCTCTTTCTTTGCTGAGTAGCATCTCCTTATGCTTGTCGGCACCGGTGTCTGGAAGCAAGAGGGATCCCTACGTACCGCAAAATAACCTGGTGTGAGGCTGGTATCCCATCACAGAGGTGCTGCAGAGTTAAACTATCACCTTTTCAACACACCTTCCACCTGTTTCACTAATGTGCAGCCAGGGTCTGGGGTTATTTTTATGGTTTTTAAGAAATGTTTTACTTCGTCGGCTTGCCCCCAGTGCTAAGCCCTCTGTGTGCACGTGGCAGGGACTGAGCTGAATCAGGGACAGAGGTTTGGTTACAACTAGGGACCTTGTAGACCACCTTGGCTTGTCCGAGTGGGTGTCCTGCTGGGTTGCAGGAGATCCTGTGCTGCAGTTCAGGCTCTTAATCAGTGGATTTCTTGATGGAGATGATTGACTAAAGTTAGCCTGTCTGGATGGGAACTACGGCCTTGCAGGTATGTTCCCTCAGAGGCACCTGCCTTTGGCTGGTTGGGGCCAAGCCTCAAGGTCCCTCCCTGATTCCTGGACGAGGAGGCCCATGTGCCCACCCGCTGTCACCGACCATCCTGCTCTCCGCGGGTTCTTCTTGCAGCAGAGGTTTCACTACGCACCCCTCTCCCAAAACCTCCAGCAGGGAGGGCAGGGGCTCCCAGCTCACTGGATGAGTCTCTCCATGCAGATGAGCCCCATCCTGGAGGACACAATGTGGTCTAATCATTGTGCCTTTCAACCCAGGTGTGGGGTGTTGGAGTGCTGCCTCGGGGTCCCTGCTGCCCGAGAGGCGGCGGTCATCCCCGCACAGCTCCCCCACTGCTTTTCTTACCTTCTTCCTCTCTTCTCTCTTTTTTCCTCTCTCCGTTGGTGCTGTTTGGTGGCTGCCGGGCTGGATCGCCGACAGGAATGCTTTGGGGTAACTATGCCGTTTGGGTCGCTGTGGGGTGCCGCCCTGGGGAGCGCGGGGGGATGGGCACAGGTGGGTGTCTGTCTGTCTGACACCTGTGCTGACCCTTAGCTGCGTTTGCAGAGACTGGAGTATGTTGCTCTGCACACACACCTACATTGCCCCAGATGCATTAAAGGTGGTGTGCTCCGGGAAAGTGCAGGCGGGGTTTTTCTTTGCAAGCACTGCTGTCCCTTGCCTTTGAAGGAGGGTGCTTTCATCCTGGATCTTGGTGTCTGTGCAGTACCCTGAGATGGTGTGAAGCACGCCCAGGGGAGCAGGGCACGGGGAAAGTGGTGTCTGCTGCAGAGCTGAAGGCTCTGCCCTGGCAGGGGCTTTGCCTGCACTGAAGTGCTGCAGGGACTTCAGCTCTGATGTCCTCCAAGGGCGTGGGATGTGGTTCATGCCAAGCTCAGGGGGCTGGGGAGAGCTCAGCCTCGGCCGTAGAGACAGCAAAGCCAGGCTTTCCTCCAGGCATTATCCAGCTCTATGTCCCATATCCATGTTGGATCCCAAGCAAATCCACAGGAGGTTTCCTGAGGTCCCTCCTCAGCAGATGTAAACCACTGCAGTTGAGTTGCCCTTGGTGGCAGCTTGCACCAGCTGGGCGCTCCCCTCAAATCCTCACCCCAGCCCCGAGTCGGATGCCCCAGCCCTGAGCTGGATGCCCCAGCCACTTACCCACACCCTGATACTGAGCAAAGCAGGAGACGGGCGGTGCAAAGTGAGTCCCAGGGCTGTTTGTATAGTTGCTTCCCATGCATTTGTGGGGCTGTGCTCCTAGGGAGGACTATTAATTAGTGATTTTGTTTACATCTCTTAATGATTAAGCCCATTATTGTGCTCCCTGTTGCATTAACCCTCGCAAAGGAGCTGTGTAATTTGGAGCATCTGTTGTCGTAAGTAATTTCTTTGACGTTTTTTGAGTGTGCGTGGTGGATCCAAACTGTGCCACCTTCACCAGGACCTCTCTGGTGAATCCCATCCTGGGATCCAGCCCATGGGCTTTAGTTAAAAGACGAGAAAAAAAACTGGTATTGTGGTTGGGATTAATCGTCATATTCAAGAAATGAGGGTCACAAGGGGGCTTTTCTGGATAATTCTACTGGTAAGCTCTGCCTTTCTCAGCTGACTTGAGGTGGAGGCAAGTGCAGCCCTGATCTGGAGAGGGAAGAGAGGGCTGAGACATTACATGCATGTGAGATAGAGGACCAGGCTGACCATGTTGGGTAGCACTGATGGAATAAGGCAGAAAGCTGTAAGGGACAGCATTTGTGTGAACAAACCAAGCACAGAGCAGGTGCTTCTGTAGGTAATGTAAGGACCATGAATCTCGAGTTCAAACCAGGATGGAAAACCCTTTGTGAGACACCTGCACGTGGACCCCATTGAGTGCATCTTCCTCATTTTATTATGAATTTCTTGCAACCAGTAGTAATGGTAGAAAATAGTCTGCAATGGTGGGTGCCTTTTGCAAGCCCTGTCTGCAAATGGCACATGCCTGCAGTAGGGAAGCAAACCTTCTGGCCCTGTTGAGTGGCGTGGCTTGGGGACATGGGGGAGGGCAGCGGTGCCACAGCACCCTTCGGGCAGCTGCCCTTGCTCAAGGAGAGCACTGCATCGCCTGCCCCAGCCCTGGCATCGCACTGCTTCCCACAACGAGGGGATTTGTTAAGGTCGCTGCTCCCCAGCAAAGGGGAAAGGTGCTAATCCCGAGGAGGAAAGGATTGCTTTATTTTTCACCTGCGCCAGCTGTCAGCGTGTGTGTTGGAGAAGACTTGTTTAGGTGGGCTGAGTGCTCAGCAGTCACATGTTTGTGACCCTCCTGTTCCCATCCTCACATGTGCTGGGGGGGGGTTGTCAGCAGCTGAAACCCCCAGAGCATCCAGCCTCGGGTCTCCAAGGTTATTGTCTCTCCGTTTCATTTTTGGGTGCGTGTGCCTCCCTCCGACACGGTAGGACCAACAAGGGCCGGGATATCAAGACCATCAAGTCTCTCCGTGTGCTACGGGTCTTGAGGCCCCTGAAAACCATCAAGCGACTGCCCAAGCTGAAGGTAACGATCCCCATTTATCTCCTGCCTTACGTTTGTCTTCTCCAGTGTGGACCGGTGGGTGCGGGGACCACGTGCATCGATTTACTTGTGAGCAATGAACAAGTAGTTTTCAAAGCATTTGCTGTGTTTTAGGAGCCCCATTTTCAAACACAACAGCCTTCAGGCTGCTTCATATCTGGAGGTGCAATGAGTTATTAAAAGCAAGCCTGGATCTCTGCAAGGTGTCAGAGCTAGTTCCTCTGCCAGGGAAAGTGGGGCTGGAGTGGACATGAGACAGCAAAGCCCAAATACTCTCCTGATAAAATAGGCTGCCCTGGCTTTGGGAGAGCTCAAATCTCTTTCCAAAGTTCATTATCTTTCCCACCAGAGCAGCTTGCAAACAACTAGGGATTTTGTGTGCTGTGCTGTCATGGTGTTGCACTGGAGGGGGATTTCCCATCTGAATAGAGGGATTATTTATGCAGCACAGGTAGCATTATGGATTTCCCTACGTTAGCCGATGGGGTATAGATCCAGAAAGGAGTAAGAGACCGAGGAAGCCCTGAGTTTTTTTCACAAGGCGGTATTTGGCTGATGGATGAGGCCCAGGGTGGCACCCCAGAGACATGAGTTTTGACCCCAGCTGTTCTTCCCAATCAGAGGATGGATTCAGCCCATGTCAGTTCATTTCTGGACACCTCTGTCTTCACCATGAAGCAGGGATAAGGACATTCCTCTCTTTCTTAAAGTGCTGTGAGAACTAGGGCTGAGAGCACAGCCTGGGGAGGAGCTGCTATTGCAGGCAGAGGCATTCACTCTGCCTTGTTATTTGGGGTGATGCAAAACAAAGAAGTGTTTACTAATTGGTTTGGGTGCTGCTAATTGCATCATCAGAGCCGTCCCCTGTCTGCTGCCCTGGTTGCAGAGAACATTGGAGGATATAAATATCCATCCCTGCTGCTGTCTCAGGGGCTGCTCGGTGTCTGTGTGTGTGCTGGGGGGGGTTACTCCAGATGTTAAACTTGCTCAAAAAATAGCCCTTTGCCTGGGAGAAGGCCCAGCTCTTTCCTCCTTTCCACCCCAGGAGTGGGAAATGTCTTTCCCCATGGTAGTCTTGAGTAAGGTTTTGGTCCTGCCCTTTGCCAAGGCTGTCAGTTCTCCAAGGTAAGCTATGCCCTCTCCTGCAGGCCGTCTTTGACTGTGTGGTGACTTCCCTCAAGAACGTCTTCAACATCCTCATCGTCTACAAGCTCTTCATGTTCATCTTTGCTGTCATTGCCGTCCAGCTCTTCAAGGGGAAGTTTTTCTACTGCACTGACAGCTCTAAGGACACGGAGAAGGACTGCATGTAGGTGCCCTGTTCAGTAGGTCCGATGCTGCTGACACCTCTGGCAAAGGCAGGGTGCTGGGTAATGTCATCTTTGGGTTCCCAGTTAAGTCCTTGGTCACGACTCGCTCTTGGCCGTAGTATCTCGAGGTGGATGGCATGGGCTGAACCCTGTCCCCATTGCTGTGTCAGCGCTATGCATCCTTGCATGGGATGCAGGATGCAGAGCCCTGTATTTTGCTCCTGTTCTCTTTCCTCCTTCTATCTTCCCTTTTGCTTTCCTCTTCTCTCCTTTCCCCCAGTTGTTATCCAGCCTTTTTCCATTTCTCCCTCCAGCCCCACAGGAGGAGAGATGCCCCCACACACCGTGCACACACGCTGCCCCCAGGGTTTAAAACCACTGTCTCATAGTCTGGCAGCATAAAAAGCAAGGTCACTGCTCTCTCTCAACATTGCAGAGGGAACTATGTGGACCACGAGAAGAACAAGATGGAAGTGAAGTGCCGGGAATGGAAACGCCATGAGTTTCACTACGACAATATCGTCTGGGCTTTGCTCACCCTGTTCACAGTCTCCACCGGCGAGGGTTGGCCCCAGTGAGTATTCTGCTCCATCCACCCCCCTTGAATTAGGGTGGGCATGTCCCCATTGGGGTGGTTGGGTTAATAACTGGCTACAGCCAGGTGGGACTGAGAGAGAAACTGCTGGGCAGGGAGGAGGAGAGGAAGGATGAGAAACTATGTCAGGACAAAAGAGCTTTAGCCCCCATATGAGGCTGGGACCATGGCTGGGGTTACCTTCTTCCTTAGGGAGTAAATGATGGATAATCCTTTCTCCTGTGTGGCCCTGAGGTATATCTTAGCTCAAGTTTAGAGATGACCATAGGACTAGCCCTTTCTTCATGCTCATGTGAGCTTGGGCAATTTTTTTCTCTGTATGTGGAGCACTGGAAAATCCATTTTCCATCAGGGACACAGGCAAAGCGCCGTAAAACAAGCTGTGGCCACTTAGAAGGGTTGTCCTTGTAAAGCAGATTAAGACAGAGGTTTATCTTATCATTGTTACAACTGTGGACAGATAGAGTTGACTGTACAAAGTGGGTCCCGTGAGAAGTGCCGCGTGGTGACAGTCCTGATGGGCATATCTCTGGTTGCTTTTCTTCACCTGTCTGCCCACAGGGTGCTGCAGCATTCGGTGGACGTGACGGAGGAGGATCGTGGGCCCAGCCGCAGCAACCGCATGGAGATGTCCATTTTTTATGTCGTCTATTTTGTGGTCTTCCCTTTCTTCTTTGTCAACATTTTCGTGGCTCTCATCATCATTACGTTCCAAGAGCAAGGAGACAAAATGATGGAGGAGTGCAGTCTGGAGAAGAATGAGGTACGGTCTGGGGAGGGGGAAAGAGGACATTTCCATGGGTTTTCTGCAGTTTGGGAGCTTGGAGCTCCCTAGATGTTGAAAAGGTGTAAGAAACCCGTGAGCCACCTGCCTGCCCAGCCCATGAAGGAAAGAGGTGTGGCAGCCACCGTGCCCCACGTTACCATCGGCCAGGGGATGATGCATGTTATTTTATTCCAGAGGGCCTGTATTGACTTTGCCATCAGTGCCAAGCCCCTCACGCGGTACATGCCCCAGAACCGGCACACCTTCCAGTACCGGGTCTGGCACTTTGTGGTCTCCCCATCCTTCGAGTACACCATCATGGCCATGATAGCGTTGAATACCGTGGTGCTGATGATGAAGGTGAGCTGGTCAAAGGGAGCCTGTCCTTTTGGGGGCAGTGGGGAGAAGGAGGATCGGTCAGGATGGGATTGGAGGGTATTTTGGTTGTTTCTAGGAGATGCTTTGATACAGAATCTGAGCATGTATTCCCTTGGCATAGTCACTTGAAACACCACATGCCCCAAACTGGAGGCGAGATCTTCCCTAAATGAGATGACCCAAATGATCTGGACCTCTTAACTACTGCAGAAGGATCTGGATTTACTCTGTGCTTCCTTCTTAGAAGGAGTGGCAGCTGTCCTGGGAGAGGGGTGGAGAGGGGAAGGAGGAGATGGTCTTGAGGCACCCACAGCAAGGAACATGGACCACCCCAGGCCTTTCTGGGACAGTCATCAGCCAAGAGGCTGGCAGGCCCCCTTCTGGCTAGCAATGTCTGTCTCTTTCCAACAGTACTACTCTGCTCCATACACCTATGAGCTGGCCCTGAAGTACCTGAACATTGCATTCACCATGGTGTTCTCCTTGGAGTGCGTCCTCAAGATCATTGCTTTTGGCTTCCTGGTGAGTCGCTGCTCAAGTTCTAGATGAGGATGTTAATTTGGACTTTGGCAGTGCACAGATCACAGAGGGAAGGTGTTAATAATGTGAGGTTGTTGCTATTTATTTTGGGTTGAGCCTGAGAGCTGCTTTTAGGTTGAAATTGCTTCTTTGGTTCTCATTAAACTTCCCACTGCTGGATGCTGGTGGGGGAAGCCACACCGTTGCTTCACTTTTTGCCTTGTTTCTGTGGTACTTTGGTGCCTGGACCATGTATATGCTGTGCAGCAGCTCTGCTAAAGCCAACTGCTGCTGCGATCATGCTGGTGGCTGCAGTCCCGTGTCCCTGGGAGCCACGAGATGCTGGTGCATTGCTGTCCTTGGGCTGTATCAGTTGGACCAGAGCTGACCAGCAGTGAGACCTCCCTGCCCAATTCACAGTCCTCAAGTCCCCAGCTGCTCAGTTAAGATTTGAAGCCACAGACTGCCTTTTCTTCAGCTACTCTTTGCTGCTTATGAGCAACTGTTGGATTTGCTCTTTTATATTTTCTTTCCTGTTTCTAACCCATACTGGGAGATGAGGTCCACTAGCAGGAGGGTTTCTAGCCACCCTCCCTGCTCCCAGCAGCACCAGCCATGGTCAAGTCCAGTCTTGCGCCAGCTGCTGCACAAACAGCAGGGGCTGAGGTGGGTCTGGGTGCCCACAAAGAGGAGGGCAAAGCAGCCTCGTGGCTGTGAGGGACAGCATGATGAGCTGTTGCAGCCTGACCAGGGCTGGCTGTGGCCGCTTTTCCCACTCCTGTTCACCAGGGTGGCCTGTTGGATGCGTGAGTCATCTCCCAGGAGAAGCAGCTCACTGCAGACACGCTTAGGTCTGCCACCATCTCAGACGCAGCACGGTGCTCCAGACCACGGCTGCATACAAATGGGCAGCAAGGTCTCTGCCACCGCTGCTGTTGTCCATGAGCAGCCTTGGCCTGTGGCCCAGTGTCCTTCAGACCTGGCATCACTGAGGACAAATTCATGTTCTCTCTCTCCTTCCTTTTGCAGAATTATTTCCGGGACACCTGGAACATCTTTGACTTCATCACCGTCATCGGCAGCATTACAGAGATCATCCTGACGGACACCAAGGTGAAGCAGGGGCTGGGAGCAGTGGGGTGAACTGCTGTGGGGTGGGGGACTCCCACTTCCCTCTGACCCTCTCATCTCCTCCCAGCTGGTGAACACCAGCAGCTTCAACATGAGCTTCCTGAAGCTTTTCCGGGCTGCTCGGCTCATCAAGCTGCTGCGCCAGGGTTATACCATCCGCATCCTGCTCTGGACGTTCGTGCAGTCCTTCAAGGTAAGTCACGTGTGTCCTGGCCTCCTCCCAGGCCACAGTGCTGGGGTGCTGCTCCCAAATGCAGGCTGTTCCCAAGGTCTTGCTGACTTGTTGGCTTGCAGGAGAGATAGATCAGCACAGCTTACCTGCTCGCTGTGCTTTTTGTACTCGTCTGGAGCTGGACCTGTGCTAAATGAGATGACTCATCTGCTTCTCTTGCAGGCTCTCCCCTACGTCTGCCTTTTGATAGCCATGCTTTTCTTCATCTATGCGATCATTGGGATGCAGGTGAGCACAGACATCTCAGTGTGCATCTCTCTGGCGCAGACAGGCTGGACCAGCATGTCCTCAGCATTATGCACAGCAGCCAGCCTTGTGCTTGCCCATCATTGCTTCACTCAGTCAAGGTGTCCGGGAAGGTTCCAAGGGTGGAACAGCTTGTTTGGGAGCTGCAGAGCCACATGCCCTGGCAGAGCTGCCATGGGCTTGTTCAGTCAAGCTCCACAGCTGCCTTCCCAACTTGTACCCTTGGAGACGTGGCCTTGGGGACTCAGCTGGGCACGCTGTGTGGTGGCTGCTTTCAAATCGCCACCCCTTTGTTTAGAAGTTACACCCTATCTCCAACTCCCTAGCAGCCCCCAGAGATTGATTTCATGCCTAAGGGACCTGGTGAGCAGCATTCTGCCTTTCCCATCTGAATGGCTGGATCACAGTGGTGATCCCTGCAGCCCACTGTCCACCATGTCCCTCTGTGGAGGGTTTATGTTGTAGCCGTGCTGCTGATGGTCTGCTTGGGCTCTCGTGCTTAGGGACCTGCAATGACCTACCAGATGGTGGGAGGTCTGCAGAGCATGAGAAGACGTGAGCTTTCCAGGCTCCAGCTGGTAAATAAGAAGCACGTGAGCTAAAACCCTCAGCTCCACATGTGCCACGGGGCTGGCTCGGTTCCGTGGTGACTAAATCCCACGCTGAAGATCTGACAAAGCATCTTCGACGACGAATGCTTGGGATCTGGAGCTGCCTGATGAGCGAACTGCCGCAGTACCCAACACCATTGCCTGACATGCGTTGCCAGGATGGGCAGATTTTGGGGAGGCAGTGGGCAGCATTGTGGCCTCCTGCTCGGGCTGCTTGGCAGCACTGGTGTTTAGTCTTTTCCACCCCCTTTCTCCCACCCCGAGAGTCGCGTGGCTGGTTTTGGCCGCTCTGTCCTACACATCTCGGCACTGGCTCCAGCTGTTCTCCATGCTAAACAACCGCCATCTGACTCAGCCCCCCTCCCTGCTGTGTGGTAGTATTTGATTTATTTTATATTTTTTAACACCATTGTGAACAAATCCCCAAGCAGTAAAGTCTGTGGGCGTTATTTGAGCAAAATAGCTGGAGGCAGAAAATATTCTACAATTACACATTCCAAAAAACCTGTACAAGGAAAAAAATACTCTGCAGTTAGTGTATTTTTAGGTTCATGGAAAGTGGAATAAATATTTAACAGTAATAACAGCACATTTTTCCTATTTGAGGCACTTTACGAATGTTCGTTATGTCCTACCACGGCCTTGGCTGAGGGTCATTATTAGGATATTGTCCACGTTTGGGGCTTTGTTGCCTCTTTTGGCCCTGGGGATGGTAGTCCCTGGTGTTTGGCTGTCTGTGGTGGGTTAGCAGTTGGTCTGTCCCTCCCACACTGAACCCTTCCCCACCCTGTTTGCACTGCTGTGCCTGACCCCGACATCACGGACCATTTCCCCACCAAGGAAAAAGCTCCTGGGAGTTTCCAGGACTGTGACCCAGCACCCACCCAGGGTGGTGCGACTCGTTGGTGTGCCTCCAGCACGCTTGGGACCTCCGGGTGCTGTGCAGTGCTTGGATGCTGCCCGTAGCACAGCAGAGGAATGGATGAGGAGCGGTTGGACTTGGTTGATCCCAGGTCCTCCGTGCTCCTGTTTCCATGGCAGCTCGGCCTCTCGCAGCCTTTGCCGCCCACTGCAAATCACTGCTGAGGAGAGGAGAGTCTCCTTCCCCAATGGCTGCTCAGCGCCAGCTCCTCGGCATGCTGGCTGTGCACCGGCATGTGTTTCCTGGGGTGCTTTTCCATGGGGATTGCACAGAGAGGGTGGATGTCAGCTGTTTTGGGGGCCAGCTGTGCTGAGAGTGATGGACCTGGGGCAGGATCGGTCCCTGCAGCACAGGGGTATGTGCCCGTGAGCCAAGGTGAACATGCAGCCACTTCCCTAGCTGGCGAGCTCTTGCCTGAATAACTGAGCCCTTTTTCTCCCTCCCGTAGGTTTTCGGCAATATCAAACTAGATGAAGAAAGCCACATTAACCGGCACAACAACTTCCGCAGCTTCTTGGGCTCCCTCATGCTCCTCTTCAGGTAAGCAACCATAGAAAACTCCTTTCGCAGTGTTTTTGGGTGCAGGCATGCCAGGAGCCAGGTTGGGCAGGTTCTCACCACAGGCTGTTTGGTGGAGGTCAGCTTTTGGTGCTAGAGAGCAGCTGGGCAACACAGGCCACAGGAACTCCTCTTTTTTTTTTCACCCTGCCCCAAAAAGGATGGCTCTCTCCCAGCTCTTTGGATAGGCTGGCTGGGGGGAGTTGGCCCCGCGTGCCAGGAGCTACACCCTGGCATGGCTGCACTAATGTTGGTCCAGCTCGGTTGCTGCTGACCCAGTGCCTCGCACCTTTGCATGCCGGAGATGTGCTTAATTGGGGTAGGGGGTTGCGCAGGTTCTTGTGAGGCTTCTCCTGGGGGCATCCTGCTGCAGCTCCATCCCGTGCCACCACGAGCTGCTGAACACGGCTGTGTTGGGCGCAGGAGTGCCACGGGAGAGGCGTGGCAGGAGATCATGCTGTCCTGCCTGGAGGGCAAAGGCTGCGAGCCAGACACAACGGCGACATCCGGGCAGAATGAGAATGAGCGCTGTGGCACCGACCTGGCCTACGTTTACTTCGTCTCCTTCATCTTCTTCTGCTCTTTCCTTGTGAGTTCCTCCCCTCTAAGAGCCCTGGGGGTTCCTCTCATCAGCCCCCCAACCTGCACCCCCTCCATAGGGTCATCTGCCATCTTCCATCTTCCCATGATTACCCTTCCTTCTCTCCCTCCCTTCCCTTCTCTGCTCCCTCTCCCCCCACTTTCCTTTCTCTCTGCCTTTTTCCCTTTCACTTAGATGCTCAACCTGTTTGTGGCGGTCATCATGGACAATTTTGAATACCTGACTCGGGATTCCTCCATCCTGGGACCTCACCATCTAGATGAGTTTGTCCGGATCTGGGCAGAGTATGACAGAGCAGCGTGGTATGTAGCCAGCTCCTTCTCTCCTGAGCAACCTCTCAGAGCTGGTTTTAAACAGGCATCTGTGTTCTGCTATTGGAAACCCGCTGCAATGTGTGGGATTGTCAGGGAAGGGCTGCTCGCAGTCGTTACAAGGGCAGCAGCCGGTTCCTACAATGCCTAGTGGCACAGGCGTCTTCCATGATGTTGATGGTTTGCCATGGTGTTTATCCTGAGTGCTGGAGGTTCCTGCTCTTCCTCTCCTCCCCGGCCAGCAGGCAGGTCCCTCTCAGCCTCCTTCACTGTCCCTGTGTGCCAGCTGGGTGCCTCTGTCCTGAGAATGGCTCCATTGCCTGGTCCCCAGCACCCACAGCTTGCCATCAGAGCAGGGCTGAGCGTGTCTCTGTGGGGAGACACTGGGGGTCTGCTGGGCTCCTGCCAAGTCACCTATGGAGGACCTTGTCTGGCGTGTGTTTGATGGGCTTGGGGATTTGTGTTCCTATGCTGGCCAGACCTCTCACCCCTCTAGAGACGGGAGGACTTTGTTTCCTGGACTCATGCCTTTGCTGATGAGGACCCCAGCAAACAGGGCTCCCATTTGCAGGCAGCAGCCTGTTCCCAGCAATGGGATGGGTTCACAGTGGCTATATATACCCTGGGTGACCAGGCTTTGGCTCTGCTCCTGCTGCTGCTGCAGAGGAGCTGCTCTCCGCCACTCCTCCCAGCATGGTCTGGAGCATCCCTAGGGCAGTGTGGAGCCCTTGGCAGCTCTGGGACCATGTTTGCCCTCCACTCATTCCCAGCTCCATGAGGGCACCTTGTGTGGCCCCATCCTCCCTCCCCTAGCCCAGGGACAGCCTCTTTGGAGCCATGACCCACTACTGTTGTGCCAGGGAGCATGGTCGATCTTAGCTCGAGAGCCTTTGGCAGCCACACTTGCTCCCTTTGGAGACTCTTCACCTCCACTGCTAACGTCCTGCCCCTCGAGAGACCAGCTGCAGCCAAGGTATTTTTTTATGCCTAATATCATCAGCTCCTGGCATAGTTTCCTCCACCATTTGTCCAACCCTGTGCAGCTCAGTGCTGGCCAGGTTCCTCCCCACATGGCCTCCTCCAGCATTCTTGCTGCTGTGCAAGGCCCCTGTAAGCAGGTGGGTTTGCTTGTTAGTGGGCGACTGTGCCTTGTGCAAGGGGGAGAGGTCAGCATGGGCGAGTAGATGTCCTGATGGACAGCTAGAGAAGGGAGAGGAGGTGAGAGCAGTGAAACACCCAGCCGCTCAGTGTGGGACTACTCACCTGTGGCTTTTGGGAAGGATTTCTTCACACCAGGCACTTCATTCACTCTCGCCCCCCATGTTGGTGGCCTGGGTCTCCAGGACAGTCACTGAAAAAGTGTCTGAGCTGTCCTATCGATGCCATGCACCCCTCTGATTTCTGAGCAAGCCGTGCTCTTTCATCATGATATGTAGCCAATGGTTAGGGGACGTGCACAGGAGCTGGTGGTGCTGGGCCCGTGGGGGCAGCCCTGGCCCCCATGGCTGGGCGAGGAACGGGTGAGTACATCTGAACGGTTCCTGAGTGGGGCAGCAGTTCTGCATCCTGACACCAACACTATCACGTGAAGGTCTCGCAGGGAGGCTGCCCAACACCGGGGGGCTCAGGGATGGGTTTCGTGTGGATGGTTGCGTTAGCTCTGGCCAGCGATGGAGAGGGGATGGGAGAAGAGCAAGGAGAAACCAGAGGCAAAGGCACCGGGTAGGACGGTGACGCTGATCTTTGCCTCCTTGTGCGGTTTCCCTCCAACCTTGTCTAAGGATGCCCAGGAGGCTGCAGCATGCTGCACCTCAGCACTTCCACCCCACATGGTCCTGCTTCCTGAAGGGCTCTGGTCTGGAGCAGAGTGGGGAGCTCAGCATCCAATGGCCCCTGCACCTTCTCCTGCCAGCTCTCTGCCTCGACAGCTTCGTTATTTCAGCCAGTGCAGGAGGGATACGTGCCATATCCTGCGATGACTCCACCTGAGTTTGGGAAGATGTGCTTTTGTGGGCGAGAAGGGGTGTGTGTATGGGAGGGTTTGCTTCTAATAATGTGTACCCTTGGCAGAGCATGGTCTCATGGTCAGAGCACAGGACTGGACCGTGAGAGACCTAGGTGCTAGTGCCAGAGCCACCGGTCACCAGCTGGTCACATTATCTCTCCCCGTCTCAGGTTCCCCAGATATTGGAGATACAAGTGACTCAGCTGCCAACCTCCCTGGGACCTTGTGAGGACTAGAGAGTTGGCCGTGCAAGGGCAGGCTCTCTGGTGGTGTGATGGGACACAACTCCATCAAAAGGGCTCGTGGTGGCTAGAACCCAACCAAGCTGCAGTCTCACCCTGTCTAAAATCCCAGCCCTCTCCCACCAGGTGTAGGCGGCCAGGGGCACGATGAGGAATGGTGATGGGGTGGTGTTCACCACCAAAACTGTCCTTCTCCAGGGTCAAGATGGGTCAGTGTGAGGAAGTATGAGCTGACTCATGGTGGGGAAGGCAGTAGCTGATGCTCACAGCTTTCCCCTCTCTGGGTCTGACAGAGCCAGGAGAAGAGCTGTGCACCCCCGGGGGTCTTGCCCCACAGATGGCCCCAGCATCCCCCTGTTAAGCTCTCCATCCTCCCCTCCACCCTCTCAGTGTCCTATTAACCCACCTGTGCTTCCTTTGCAGCGGCAGGATCTCGTATAAGGATATGTACAAATTAGTACGGGTGATCTCGCCTCCTCTGGGCCTAGGAGAGAACTGCCCCTACAGGGTGGCGTGCAAGGTTTGCCTCCCAGTCCTCTGCCACAACCTGGCCACGGGACGCACCATCCACCCCTCCTTCCCCCCTGCTCCACCACCACCGCGCCTCCCGAGGGAACCCTGACGTTGCTTTCCTTCGAGTTTAAAGAGGTCCGCGGCCTCCCAGAGCCAGCAGCTGTCCTCCTCGAGGGGAGGCATGAGTGGGGCCGGGGGGGCTCAGAGCCTCCCGGGGTGGGTTTCGACAAATTGCGTCCCCCAGCCAGCCCCCCACCCCGGCTCTGTCGGCGCAGAGGGCCCCTGAAGGGTGCCAGGCCAAATGCCACCATCCCTGCTTGGCTTCTCAAAGTGCCCTCACATGGGAGCAGGAGTTTTTTGGGGGGTTCAGGTGTGGTTTACTCCTGGGGAGGGAGAGGGGAGCAAAGGCAGGAGGATGTTGGGGACTTTGCTGTTGATTTGGAGAGTGAGGACTGGGGGGAGGATGGGGAAGCCAGGGAGACCCCTAACTTTGGGGGACGCTGTGCTGTGCCCAACAGACACTTCTGCAAGTGTGGCACTCAGAGGACACACTACCACCTCTTGGGGGAGCAGGACTTCTGCTAGTCTTGCCCTTGGCTTGCCAGACCTGCTGGGAGGAGGTGGCACCTGGGCACGTCTCTGGACCTCAACAGTTCCTCTCCCTCTGCTTGAGCCGAGCTCCCAGCTGCTGGCTGTGAGTCCACGGCAGCGGTTTGGCCTCCTTGTGTCTCTCTGACTTGCACATCTTTTAAAAATTTTATTTTGGGGTGACAGTTGAGCAAAATCCCGCACCTGCCATCTTCTCTGAAGTGCCACATCCATGACATCCATGCCTGTGTTCATGGCACAAAAGGATGAACCACAGAGCCCGTTCTTCCCTCTGCATCCCTCGCAGCATCTAAGGAGATGTACGAGGGAAGCTCAAATGCCCCCAGACTGTGATCTTGGCTCTGCAGGGGAAGAAGGTTCCTCAGCATGGCATGCTGTAGCCGCCACATCCTCCCTGCCACATCAGAAATGCTTCTTCCAGCCAGCATCCCTGGAGCAGGTCTGTCACCCTCCGTGGTTGGTCATGGGGATGATGCACACATTTGAAATCTTGAAGTAGACCACCAGAAGTAAAGCAGAGCAAGCGAGACAAGGCCTTGGTCATCTACTGTATGAAGAGGTGTTTAGGTGTTAGGATTTGCAAGAATCTCAGATGTCTCATCCATTCAAGAAGGGGCTCCTTGCAGTCTTTCCGCTCTTCTCTGTTGCATTCCTGGCAAAGGATGGTGGTTTTGCCAAGGGCACTTGCTCAGGTCCCTGCAGACAGAAGATACCTTCAGGGGGAATTCCTAGTCTTTCTCATTTGACATCAGGGCTTCACTGGCAAATGCTGCTCTCCTAAGCTGGATCACCTGGTACTCAGAAAGGTACCAGTAATGCTTCCTGGAAGAGGGAGGCTCTGCAGCAGTCTGGGCTTTCTGCTGACTCTGTGAGATGGACAGAGCAGTGAAGGTAGATAAACTCAAGGGGAGGTGGAGGCAGAGAGAGTGAGACCAGCTTCTGCTGTCATGTGAGGGAGACCATCCCCATCTTCCTTGTGTTACTTCAGTCTCCTCTTCCTTGTGCATGGGGTATTTCAAGGACATGAGAGATTTTCAGGGATTCCTACTGCCCTGGAACAATTCCCAGAAGGCAATTGATGAAGAAAGAAAACCCACATGGTTGTTGCATCTTGCCACCATGGTCCAGATCCCAAAATGCCAACCCAACTTGCTCACCTTTCAGTTTGGTGAGCCTTCCCTGCACATCACAGCGCACAGGTTCACCTTCCTGGAGCCCACACCCCTATCCTGCCAGGCCATGTGACAACGATGACTTGCAGAAACAACCACCAATGTGTTTATGGAGTGGTGGACAGCCTGCTCTGGAAGAGATGGTTCTTGGGCAAGTTCAGGATGCAGCACAGTGGTGCAGCATGGTATGGAAGCATACCCACTAGGCCATCTGCAGGTGGGCTAACAAAGGGGCATTGATGCAGGAAGACTTCCCATGGAAGTCCAGCAAACTCTGTCCTTATACTGGGGAGAGCAGGTCTTGTAACTAAATCTTGCTGGGACTGTATCCTGGCAGCCAACCCCACTTCTTGGGGCTATCTCTACCTTTCTTCACCCCCCCTGCTTCTAGGAGTCATGCAAAAGTGAGCCAAGGCATCACTTTTGCCCCCTAAAAGTAGCCCTTGAGAT